CCGTTTGATGACAATGACTACGATTGATTCACGAAGTAGTGCAAGATGCTGTTTGTTTGTGATTTCCGCTTACTTGCCCACTAACTACAGTTCTGATGCTGCCAAGAACATACTTAATCAGGAAAAGATGCAACTACTAGGCAATGCTACCAGTTCAGATATCATAGTACTTGCAGAGGATTTGAATGAACAAGCATGTCGTCTGAGCTCTTCAGAAGTTCAGGTAAGTGGTAAGCATGCGCTTAACTCCAAACAGACCGACAACAGCAAAACTTCTTTTGCAACCCTGTGCGGAGCACCAGCTGTTTCTTAGTAGCACCGTCTCTCGATGTAGTGGGTGCCCATGTGCCACTTGGTGTCCTCCTGCTTCTGACCAGCGATAGACCCAAATAGATCACACTGCCGTAAGTTACAGGTAGCGTGGTTCCATCCTGGATTGCTGCTGGTGCTGGAGTATTGCATCCAGTCTGATCATACCTTGGTATGCTGCCGCTTTTCCATGAACATTACCGAGATGCACAGCAAGTGTCTCCTTGGAGTAGCAATTTCGAAATTAGGCTAGCCCACGGTCAGGAAAGCCTAACACGATGCACTGCGTACCAAAATTTCGCTCCCTTCTCCTAATGTCACTGTGTTTCAGTGAAATAGGGTCACTGTCGCCATGCACGACGCAGGAGCATCTGCTTGTGGTACTACCAATCGTTACCGCACCAGTCAATGGATATCCGAGAGGTCGGTGAACGTCTTGAAATCCCGAAGAAACCTCCCAGCTGGCTCTGAGCACCACGTGACCAGAAGAACTATTAGGCGCCAACTAATGCGGAGCCAGCGCGCTGACAAGGAAAGCTGGTTGACCAGTCAGGTTCAAGAAATGGAGGAGGCGGGAGCAGAAGTGAACTATCGCAGGCGCTTGCAGCTGATTCGTACCACTGGCCCCAGGAAACCAGCCGTCAGTGACAAGTGGAGACAACGCGTGTGCGCTTATTAACAATAAGGAGCGCCGTATGGCTAGTGGGGCGGAACTTTTAAGCTCAGTTCAGTTGACCCTCTGCTTCCGGACCTCTTCCTACTAAGGTGATGCAGGCTGAGCCATGGATGGTTAGTTTAGAGGCACCATCGGATGACGAGGTCCAAAACACCATCACAGCCCTTAATCGCTTTTATGCTATTGACCCGCACCCCTCCCACCTACACTATTTAATGATAGAGATAAGGTTCTCTGCAAATCACTGACCTTCCTGTTAGAACAGGTATGGAAGGAGGAGACCGTCCAGACTAACTGGAGTGAATCGATTATAGTGGTAATGTATAAGAGAGCAGTCGTACCAATTTTGCGAAACACAGGCGTATTAGCTTAACGCCAGTTGTGACAAAGTGCTGACCACAATTCTCGTTCGTCCTCTCACTGCGCGACGGAATCCCAGATTAGAGACGAGCAGGCAGGTTTTCGCCCTGGACGTGGCTGTATAGACCATATATTCACTCTGCGGCTGGCCCTAGAGCAGCGCCACGCATACATCAGCTCGACAATAGCCATGTTCATCGATAACAAAAAGTGTGTTTGATTCAGTCGATCGACGCGTTCTGTTCGAATAACTCGCACGGAAATGTGTTCCTCCGAAATATGTGTACATTTTACATGCTGTGTTTACTAGAACACGAAAGGCCGCGTCAGGGTCTATGGTGATTCATTGGATGACTTTCCGACAAAATGTGGTGTTCGTCAGGGGTGTCCAATTGTCACATTTTTGTTAAATTTCGTCGTGCATTCTATCATGAAGTGTACCCTTGCAAAATCTCACGATGCAGGCTTCGAGCTCCTACCTGGTGAAATGCTAGTTGATCTTGATTATGCGGATAATATCGTCTTGCGTTTTGACGATACTGCGACGGCCCAGTCAACTCTGAAGGGCCTCTCTATAGTGGTCCCGTTATTTCGTATGCGCTTCGTACCTTCAAAGTGCAAAGTGTTGCTGCAGGACCACCAGCCACTTGATGACCACTTGATCCTACATAGTGAGGAACTCAAGATAGTTGATCAATTCACTTAACTTGACAGCTGTATCAGCACCGGCGGGCACATAGAAACGGGTCAGTTTATGCATTGCAAACCCTAAAACTGCCTTTTGAATTTGCGATATCTTTGACGACAGAAAGCGGTTTCCATCTGTTTGAAAGGCCGCGTTTATAATGCCAAAGTGAAGGCCGTCCTAGTCTACGGGAGGGGAAACTGGCCCATTCGGTCTGCAGATCTGGGCCGCCTTCAAGTCTTTGATCACCGCTGTCTGCGGAGAATTGCTGGTGGCACCAGCGTGTCCGCAACAATGATGTACGTAGTTGTGTGCTAGGTAATGATACCCAAGCTAGTTCCTTAGAATAACAGATAACATTAAATAGGTGGCATTTGGCTTGGGCACGTACTACGTATGCCCGGGCCCCGCCTACCGAGGAAGGCGTTATCTTGTCTGCCAGATGTAGGTTGGTGCAAGGCTCGAGTTGGAAGGATCTTGATTTGGCAGTGGGAAATTAAGTCACAGACGACGAAACTTGGTGCCGTCACTTCGTCTCGCCTTTCAGGCTGAAGTCTACGTGACTCGCCTTGATTGTCTCGGCAATTTACAGAACATGGCTTGTAGTCGGCACCAGTGGCTCTTCTGCTGCCGTCTCCTAGTCGGACTGACTTTTAATGTGTGTTTGTTGCCAAGTTATCAGCGTGTGAATGACTTATTATGACGTTGGGCAGGGTAAGCATCAAAGATGCTCCCTCGCCGGTGCCGCCTTATCTATTCACTATATCCGTATGTTTGTGTTGGCACGTTTTTGTCAAGGTGTAGGCGCCTTGACGCTCAATGTTGGCTTAGGGTGTCCAGGTGTTCCGATAAGTCCCCCTTCTTTCTCTCCTAGTATTATTCTTGCCATAAATCGTTATGGTTGTATAACAGCTAAACAGCGGTTCAAATGGTTGATGTACAGCTGTTGTTGTTGTGGTTGTTGTTGTTGGTGGTGGTGGTGGTGTTGTTGTTGTTGTTGTTGTTGATTGTTGATGATGATGAGGATGATGACCACTTTGCTAGGTAACGGTGCAATATTGAGTCTAAGGCTGTTAGGAAAATAATGCTATTACCAACATTACTAAAAGAGAATCTTCCCAAAATATTTACAAAATGAAACGAAATGCCGAGAATTATTACCAGTTAAAGAAAACACTTAAAATGTCTCAAGAACATATTCATCAGATAAGCCAAGTAACCTGTGTGGAACTGAGGATGACCCACTTCGGTCAGGGAGAAGTATTCTAAGTCATCCCGCAGAGTTACATGCTTAGGCTGTCGAACGTGCTATACATGTACCATCACAAGGGGCGTTTACTTCTAACCAAAAACGATAATTTGAGAGAGGCAGATGCATGTGTTTATCTCTCAAACCTCCGCTTTGCAAACCGTATCACCTTGTAAGTTAAGAGTAATGTGTGATGTGGACTCCAGTCAGAGACAAACTGGCGGGGATGAACGTCATCCTTGTTAATGCGAAAACGCTTCGCTGAAACATAAGTTAGTCGGTCATCTCTGTTGCGTTTTCTCGTGTGCACCTCACTGAGGCAGAGTTACAAAAATGCAATGGATGCTAAAGAGAAGTTAATGGGTGCGAAGTTGCTACACATGAGCTAATTGACGTTCCATCATAAAAAGGTATACTCCTTCACATCCCTATTGACTAGCTATCTCATGTATTAACTATGAAGCCCACAAATTTTCTTTATCTAGCCATTAAACACCATCTCCGCATGTTTGGTCAGTTAGTTACACTTGCATTGTAAAAGAAAGTATTTTGCCCTAAACTGATTTGACGACTTCAACTCCGTAATCAACTTGATGTTTTTCATCTGGAAACGATGGACACTATTTATTGGGGCACACAGGTTCTGCTGTTAGTTCGTCCAGCTTTGATAATCCAAAAGAAGGGGCATTTAAGCAAAGTTTAAGGCGCAATCATGAAACTAATTTTGCTAAGCAATTAGTTTTAAAAACAATAACTATTAACGGATATTTAAGTCGATAAACGTGCAGACGGCGCGCGGCTGTTAGTTAATCATACCAAAAGTCGCCGTTTCATGGAAGAAGCTTTGCCTTCAAATAAGTCAAGGAAAGCTTTAAATTAGCCAGAAATAAAAACGTTTCAAGAAATAACTCACCCTTTATTACTCGAAAAAGTCTAGCTCTAGCTTTGCATGCAAAACGTCAGCAATCAACTGAGAGAACAAGCGATGAAGATTCTAGTTATTGCTGCTAACAGCTACGTCGCACTTAGTATGACAAGGACTTTACGAAGTTCGAGTAGGTGTTGTCTCCTGTCATTCATGGGTATCTCATGCAAATTATCGTACTGGTCAGTTTTGTACTGTGATCATAGTGGGGATCGAACAAATGGATCAACGGAAACATACACTGCAGTGATTAATACAAAGCGTACTTCATATAGCGTAGACACGATAAAGGATAAGATATGATACTCTCTGCTTGGGCGCTTGTTTATAGTGCCCGTCGTAGTCCCCATGCAACTGAATGGTGGGTTTCAAGTCTGCACTTGACCAATCCTAGATCTGCATTCATTTCGGTTAGCTCAGAACTCTCAGTGCTCACAGATCTGAAAACGTTGTGCTAAGATTACAAGGCGCTCCCGAACTTGTAGTGGCTAACTGACTGAGCCTAGTGACAAAGAATCCATTTTGTTCCTTAGTCAATTCCCCCAACCAGTAGTCTAAATTTTAGGCGGACATAAACATCTCTTGTGTCATTGTTATGGGACGGTTACATGCTTGCACCAATCAATGACGGTAAAGGACACATTTAAAAGGTGTGATCTTGGGTATCCGTGTGAAGCTACTCCACAGGGTATTAATGCAAACTATTCCGAGATGCCGTTCTATTTTGATGTGGTTCATGCTTTCAGAACTTGACGTTCTTTTATTAATAAATTAATAGAACCAAGACTAACCTAACATGTTGGATCAGTCTGTGCGGGCCACTTTGAGAGGGGGCAAATGGAAGTCGTACGAAACGCAACTGATCCAACTAAACATTCCCACAATTCGACTGCTGATTTACTTCGCTTGGCTCGCCTATCCATACTGTCATTTATATTGCAGTCCAACTCCGCAGGTACGCGAACTCGTGCAAGAGTTCACGGTCAAAGCGAACGCATTCGGTGGCAGCATGCCAGCTGCAAGTTTAAAGGATTTTCTTCAGCAATATGGAATTCGAAGTCAAACTGCCAAAGTAAGTGAACGAGTGTTAATACAATAGCACTGAGCATTCGTTAAATCCCCATAGTGAGTTCTATCTTGTTCTCCTTACTGTGAACCGTAAATTTGAGAGGGGAACAAGGGATGTACTTACACAGCCGTTTTGCAAACACAAATTATCAAGAAAACCATTTGGTTTGGTCTACTTCATTTACTGCGCTGTGTGCATTCTGTTGTTAAATGGACACTAGCATGGTATGGCATGTTTGGCTTATAATAAAGTTACAGTGATGTACAGATAACACACAGTAAAGCATTGGTTGTCCGGATTTTCAGTTAATGACCTACAAAGCCCGTTTGATATGTTAATATGTCTAAAATTCCCAAACAAAACCAACACTACACCTTTGATTTATTTTTATTCAAGTGATTACCGCATGGTGTTCATTATACAATGCTTCCCCTTTATTAATCGTACTGCTTGGAAATAGCCCGTTTCTCCATTGTACATACCCTTCGGGATATTATTTAGGGCGTCACGAAAGCTAACTAAGTGCCAAAAGGTAACCGCATCAAATGATTTTGATTACGGTTAATAATGCGAATAAGCTGATGGGATCATTGTTTGACTGGTGAGGTAAAAATTGCGTAAAGGCAACACGAATCGCATGACCTCAGTGTCGTTAAAATGTAAATATCTAATGATCACGCGTCATCTGATATAGCTTTGATCAGTGTTCAAGATGGTGTAGCGTCAACGCAACCCCCAACAGCACATTATCGCCCGATAACACTTCTTCCGGTGATCTTCAAGATCGTGGAGTCTGTTGTCGCTGAGGCGCTCACTGAGTACCTGGAGAGTAACCAAATTCCCGTTACGGAGCAGTATGGACTTCGCCAGAATCGGTCCTGCACCGCTAATCTGTTAATAGCCCGTGCAGGATGGACGCAAGTTGTAGACAATGGGGTAAGAGTAGACGCAACCTACCAGAATTTCTCAAAGGCATTCAACACCTTGGATAATCGCTTTCTATGGCACCAAATCCTGAATCATAGTATCGGCGGTCCCGTTCTGCGATGAATAGGCGGCTTTCTCTTCCAACATCACCTGAATGTGAGGGTACGCAGTACCCTATCGGAACCAATCAAAGTTAAGCGCGGCGTACCTCAGGGCTCGGAACTCGGGCTCCGCCTGTTCCTGGTCTTTATAAATGATCTCGCAAGCGTGCTGCCTATCATTTGCCAAAGATCTAAAAATATGACGTGTTATCGCTTCATTGGAGGATCACAATGACCTACAGGATAACCTCTCTCTCTCACCTCTCAAAATGTACAGCGGCCCTTATCGGCATATACCGGGAGATCTCATATGGTGCATCAGATCCTGAGGAACCCCAACCACCCATGCCACTCTCTTTTGAACGTCAGTCAAAACACATCTCTAATGGGTTAGCAGTTTAAGTTGGTCACACAGTACAGCCGAATAAAAAATCAGCACAACCTTTTCTCACTCCGAGTGTTACAGCCCTGGAACGCTGTTCCGTTGCAGGTAGTAAATGGCCCTACGTTATCCCTATGCAAATATCGCTTTGACGACACCCCATCACAGTGGCACTAGGTGATATGGCCCATAGCCATCAATGAATGATGAAAAATGATTTATCACAGGTAAAAAAAACCATGTGCATAACAAGTCCCGTCGGATGATTGGAGTAAAAAGTAAAATTTGAAGGATCATGGAATAAGTAAATCGTTATTTCAAGCGTCCACCGAGTTAAATGCACCACCGCATAACGATGGTTTTAAGTGGGAATGGGATGTGCACAAGCGAAATAATCTAGAGAGCCGTTATAGTTCAGTAAGTGCGTGAGAAATAAAAATGGAAACTACAACGTTCACTCATTTGTTTGTTCGTTTGACAGATGTGATAGGTTAATCCAGTTTAATAAAATCTAGGCTAATCACATGGACACTACTGCATGTAATCTCACCGCCACGTTGCGGAGAGGGCCGTTAAGCACATAGTTAGGTTTGCGTTGTTTCGTCCTCCAAGTGGTACGGACTATATCAAATAATCCAAGTTTGAAAGCCTTTCATCAAGGCGTTTTTTGAAAAGCGTTAATATAGAGACAAGAACAACGTGAGTCGGAAGGGCATTCCAGGCACGGGACACACGGACGGAGAAAACATTTCGTCGACGATCAAGTCGACTGTAGTGTTTAGCCAGTTTGAGCTGATGACCTCTCAGGTTGGTATTTCGGCTCAGCTGCAACAGATTGCGACATGGGTGTGTTGGGTTCAACAATATTAAGTAAAGCAGGAGTAGGTCTCCTCGCTGACGTCGATATTCACCACTGTGCAATCTCAGCGACTGCAGTCTGTGTTGATAGGTGTGATGAAAGAATCCTCCAACGAGTTTGGTCGCTCTACCTTTCGGAGCTTCATGTGCATCATCGTCCCGCCTGCGCCAGGGAAGCTAGGCCTGAATCGCATATTCCACGTGAGACCTCACGTAGGTGTTCAGCATTTGCGGAAAGATTGATGGCTCAAAATTTCCGAAAGCCCACTTTAATGGTCTAAGATGTTGACTGGCTCTTTTTGCTGTCTATTCAGTCTGTCTTTAGCAACCAAGGTCGTCCTGCACGATCACCCCGAGGTCGTTTTCTTGAAAAAGCACGTTGTAACTGCTGGTCCCCGAGTCGATATTCATAGATAAGTTGATGGCGTATGCTTACGACTTTGCACTTGGTCACGTTGAACTAGAGCTGATTATCGGATGACCACGCATAAGCCCTGTAGAGATCGCTCTGCAATGCCATGTGATCATCCGATGTCCTGATATCATGCCAAATTTTGATATCATCTGCAAATAGTAAGAAATTCGACTGCAGTACACTGCCAAGATCGTTAATGAATGTGAAGACTAAACGAGGCCCCAGTACCGATTCTTGAGGCACGCCACACTGGACATCAATTGGGTCAGAAATGGAGCTGCGGACTCTCACATTTAGCTGATGTTGAACCATGAAGTTGCCGATGCAACCGAGTATAGGGTCATCGATTCTATAGCTTTAAAGCTTGTACAGGAGAATACGGAGGTCCAAACGATCGAAAGCTTTCTAGAAGTCCAGGTAGACCGCGTCGACTCCCACTCCGGCATCGGCTGACGCTGTCCAGCTTGCTCGGGCTAGCAGCAAGTTTGTAGTGCAGGATCGATTTCGGCGGAATCCGTGTTGCTGTGACACTAGGATGTTGTTGCTCTCAAGATATCCCATGAGCGCCTCTGCAATTATGCGTTCCATTACTTTGGATAAAACTGGAAGGAGAGTGATTGGGCGGCAGTTCGAGGGCTCCGAACGATTATCACTTTTGTAAATAGGCGTGACTAGTCCATGTTTCCACGTTGTGGGAACCTACATTTCGTCGAGACAATGTTGAAAGAACCGAGCTAATGTTTCGGCAAGGTTCATGGCCGCTGTCTTCAAGGCCATCGGTTTTATGTCGTCTACGCCAGGTGAACTGTGTATGTGCAATGACATTAGCGTTTTCATCATATTGGCTGCCGTGAACGATACGTGGTTTAACTCTGATATCGATGGAAACTGTGTAAAAAGCGGATGGAATGAAGGTTCACTCTAGAAAGTATGGATGAAGTGTTGGCGAAACATGTTGACCGCATCTTGTGCCGTTTACGCAAGACCATCTGTTGCACGCCAAACCGGGGTCCCGCGCTGCCCTCTGCGGAGCTTCTTAACGTGTACCTTCTGTCGGTAGATATACAAATTTATTTTAATTTTATTTATTTATAACTTGATGCAGTAGTTTGCTTGAGTTGTGTACGCACCCCAAGTCAGGTTATTTGGACAGGCTTCATAAGCACTTCAGGCTGAATCCCACGCCATGCATTTTCTAACACGGTTCCTCAAGAACGAATTAACTTGCTTTGAGCGAAGGACCTTGCTTTCTGAAGCATTTGCCACTAGCTAAGTGAATTGGGTGACAAACAACATCCAGGCGACATCGGGCGGCTTCTCGGCCAGAAAGGAGCAGACAGTTTCTTGAACGAAGTTGGACAGTTTACCGTAATGTGTAAAGACATAGGTTTCCACGTTGTTCTCCCTGAGGTACTTCGAGTAACAGATGTAACGAAAGAGAAACATCGCGTGATCGCTATGGCCAAGTAATGCATCTATGGTCCTGGTGTCAAATATAAATTCCTCGTTGAAGAGCACAAGGTTCAAAACAGATGGTGTGCCACCCTTTCGGAATCGAGTGGAAGAGGTGACATGGTTGTACATAGGTACATCAGCGAGCATCTCTTGCAAATCCGCCTTGTATTGTTCGCAGTGCGATGATGGAACTTCGATTGCGTGCAGGTTGAAGTCCCCCATCAGAAGAACTTAATGTATGGTCGTGCCAGCACCCGTTTTATCGCGGAAGCTAGGCAGTGATCCATTTCCAAGGTGGACATTGGAGGGTGGTAAACTATTGTTAGTTAACACACATCATCACGTCTTAGGTACATAAGACATCAAAGAGCGTAGACGAATTGCGTTACTGTGTCCTCAGTGACATCAACATGCAGGTCGGATCGATAATACAGGAGCCTTCCCTCTCCTCTGCTAGGTCGATCGTTTCGTATGGAATTCATGCCGGGTAGTGCAATTTCAGCATCTGTGATCTCCGTGTTCAGCCATATTTCGGTGACCATAACTGAATCCCAAGGCGTGGAGACCTAACGCATGCGAAGTTCGGTTAACTTGTTGAGAAGACCTTGTGCATTGGTATGCAAGCAGCTGAGGGCATGGGTGGTCAGAAGCGGGTTTATAAATGCTGGTTTCCAGTGAGGGTCTATGCCGACCCTTGCGGGGTCAGCTGCCGGTCGTCTTTTTGTAGGACCGATGACCCAGGCACTAGGGCCAGTTCAGGTTGTCGTATAGAGCTCTCAGCGCCAACAAGAGGACCATCCTGTCTTCCTTCAGCCGTCGGTGTGTTTCAGCATTGTTTTCGTTCTGAGCTACACGGTGACAGAAT